AAAATGACCGTAACTTGAAAAATTGAAGTCGGAATCACCTCAAACTCTCTACACAGCATAAGGACATCAATATGTATCAGAAAATGTAATAAAAAATTGGGGTGATTTCGGAGTCATTTTTTGGAAAAAACCATGGGCTATAGCCTTGGGTATTTTTCAGATTTTTGCCGTTTTCTTAAAATGGCCGTAACTCAAAAAATTGAAGTCGGAATCACCTCAAACTCTCTACACAGCATAAGGACATCAATATGTATCAGAAAATGTAATAAAAATTTGGGGTGATTTCGGAGCCATTTTTTGAAAAAACCATGGGCTATAGCCTTGGGTATTTTTCAGAATTTTGACATTTTTTTAAATGGCCGTAACTTGAAAAATTGAAGTCGGAATCACCTCAAACTTTCTACACAGCATAAGGACATGAATATGTATCAGAAAATGTAATAAAATTGAGGAAATCCTTTGCTTCAAATTTTGGTAAAAATTGACCATTTTAATTTTTACGTTTAATTTTTTTAATATTTTAAACTGCCGCTTGAAAATGCAATGTTGCTTTTTTTCTTCTTGGAACACAATCTGTGATAATTATTAGTACAATAATAATTAATAATATTGCGAAACAACACCAAAATAATAGTAAACGAAAACAATTAACGTATTCCATATTTCACCAAAACAATTAATGTGTAACACAAAAAGCTTAATGAGTTACAAAGTGAGAAAGAAAGAAATAAAGAAAGCAAGAAAAGGTTGTTAGATAAAATCAGGGGACACTCTCCCAAGCTCCTCCTCTTTCAAATGAATGTTCTTAACAATCTTATACTGGTGTCCGCTTAATGTCACTCCCATCCTTTGGAGGTCATCTTCACTCAGCCCAAAGCAATCTGCTACATTGTATAAACCTTTTGCATGAAATATATCTATGTATCTCGTCATCCCAATTGAGCCTAATAATTCGTCTATTGAGTCAGCAGCTTTATTGTTTCCATTAGGAGCAGAAGAGTTTGAAGTAGTAGGAGGAATAGGCCTATTAGGAGACTGAAGGTGAGCCGGCTTAGGTTTCGGCTTAGGTTTCCTACAAAAAAAATACAAACAGATAATGTTTAGAAGCTAAAAATACTAATTTCATCCTCTGCTTTGATGATGAAATTTCTACTCAAATCAAGTAGCAAAACTTTGCGTTTCTGCTTACCCAAAAAGTATGACTTCAAAGCATTCAACAATGTTTTCAAAAGTGGGTCTCTCTGAACGCTCAATGTTCCAACAGGCTTGCATTATCTTGTAGAGATCGTCAGGACATCCCTACTCAATGTAACAAATTAATAATAATAATAATAATTGTTGCATGTAATCCCCAAATAAGTACATGTACATGCAGGGTCTGCCTAGAAAAAATTAGAGGTGGTTGGAGACTAATATTATTCCTTTTAAATTTATGTACGCCATACTAGTAGACTAAAATATCATGCTTTATGTATGGTTATTAGTATCAATTGCATGGTTGGTCTAAGTGATGAACTGGTTGGTTCATTTGTTGAGGTGGTTGTCCCGACCACCCTCGACTACCATAGGCAGAACTATGGTACATGTAGTGGACGTACTCTCGGTGGGTGAAGTCTTTCTCCATTTTCTAGTCTTTGAAATATTGTTGCGTTATCCCATCCATCATATGGTGTTTCCCCAAATGAGAATGTCTCCCACAGGAGCACACCATAGCTCCATACATCACTCGCTGTAGTGAAGCTCCGATGAGATATAGCCTCAGGGGCAGTCCAGCGTACAGGGATCCTTCCACCCTATATAATATACAGTGTATGAGTCACTGAGAGAATTATCAATTTTTTCTAATACATTTTTAAAGCTGATTCTAATAAAAATTGGATTTTTATGGGTTTTAAAGTTGCTCGTTTTTACAGCAAAAAATTAATTTAAGCAACGTTATTTTACAGCCTAGTGCGTACGTGTACATTAAACAAAATGGCACTGCAATTTTGTGCAATAATAAATGCACAAATGTACATGTACATATAGATAAATGTACGTAAATGTATATTGAGACTTGCTTAAATTAAAAAATACAATACACATAATTAAAAAATTCATTCTTGGCCTGCTATCAAATTTAAGGACATTTTATGCTTCAAAGATGACAAGTCTACTACTAGAGCTCTG